TACAAATTATTTAGTTTGATGGATTATTTTGATCACTGTAATAACTACATACACCATAGTGAATAATTGTAGTGATCAGCGTTGACCGATTGAATTACACTAGTCTTCATCGAGACAATTGTCACCGATGGCACTCAATGATCGATACAAATTGGTTGAATTGGAAATGGTGAACGTTTTAGTCCCAACTAAGTGGTCTTATACTGTTGTGGTCATCGAGGAAATCTTTAAGACTTCGATTTTAATGGTCACCCAGTGATCAATAAGATGAAATCGTCGAGTGGATGTTACGTGCATTGGTCTTCAATGGATAGAGATGCCGAGAACAAATATCGTAACTGTTCATCATGTCTGTGACCGTGACAAGTTTTCTTTGAAGTATTCGGCATCATCAAGTTTGTTGAGGTCGACCGCGTACCAATCCTCATGTTTCTTGAACCAGGATTCGAATGTAATGCCAGACTAACAGTCGAAATGAAAACTATCAACAGAACTGATGATGGAATCGGTATGTGATTTACATGATTCTTTAGTAATCCCTTAGTGGTTGATAGTCATTTGCTTCATTTGATTTTCTAGGGTACGAAGTAACGTGTATTGGACAGAGATACAGAGAACAAATGTCGTAATTGTTCATCATGTCTGCAAGCTAATAAAAGCTCTTCAAAACGCAAACCACAGAGGTGGCCTAAGCCTGAGGTGATGGACTGATATTTTGCAAATCAGTTATTTACTATATGGTTCTCGGAATCTACTAAGGGGATCTGTAAATTTGTATTCCAATACATTTGATTTTTCCCACTTGTGTTCTCCTTCACTATAATACAAACGGTTCATCCGTGTAACGAGAACTAGCATATAACACCATAACACAGAGAGAAGACAAATAATGGGAAAAGTTTATATTCATGATAGAACAAGCAGAATGAAATGAAACATTTCAACTTCGTATACGCAGCAATAGAAGCATCACTTACAGATGTATAGGGTAAAGTCATTTATTGAATCACATAGGAAGAAAGCAATTTTGTTTACAATTTTCAGTGTTGCAAATTATTAGTGAATGATCTTGTAATCCCAATAACAGTTTCACATAACAAAAGATAACACTCATAGACAATCACCAATCAGTGTGTATAGACAATTACATATCCATTTGTTCCTCTGAAATGCATTGGTTTGCATTTTCGGATACATTGCTTGTTTCATTAAATAAATTGCATATAAGTGATATTTCACTTGAAATGATCATATTCATCCAAATAATTATTGTTGCAAGTACTAATCCACATAGAAAATATTGATCATCTCGAAAACTGAATCGTTTATCACCTGGAAAAATTGCTTGAGTTGCAATTGCCAATTCCTGAAATCAATGTACGTATTTATCAGTATCATGCATTTACTTCAATCATCAAAAACTATGTGTATAATCATCGTTTAACTTATGTATGTTACTGTCAATTCCAATCACGACAATGGCTAAACACAAATCATTGCAATTAGAAGGGTGGTTTATGGGTATTTCAAAGCTAGAAACTCTGTAAGCGTTGGATTGATAGGTTCCGGGTTCGAATCCCGTGGGTGAGATTGTGGTTATGCACTGCCAAGGAGTCGCATAGTAGAACAAATTATTGTCGTTTATGCAGGCTTTTACCATACTGTTATTTTTTTCTATTCATAAGTTTGCTTACTTCATTTCGACATTCGTAACTCCTTGTCTTTAGCGAAACAAACATATTTTAGATCTTCTCTCTATATGAATTACTTTTCCTGTAATTTTTCTAGACTCTGGAATAATTTACCCCAAACTATCCGTATGTTATACTCTCTCCCATTGTTTGTTCGTTCAATTAATGCTTTTTGCTCCTCTGAAAATGCATTAAATACTCTAGCGCCTGCAAGTGTATCTTACTCCACAAGTGAGATTATCGGAACTTTGAATGTTTAACCTCTTACTTGCTATCATTGTTCTGTTGTTCCGTGCTCTTTACTTTAATCTTACTTTCTCTAGTTGTAGATAATTAATAATAACTCGCTCTGGCACTGGAAATAACCTTACAGAACAATGTTGATCAATCATCAGGCTATCCACTTAATAAAAAAAAGACAAGTTCCCTGGTGTTGCATTGGCTTGACGTGACATATGCCATATTTAAACTATTTATCAATTACTAAACCAGCAAACATAAAACTTTCTTATAATTCATGTTTGTTCTCTACATTAAATGTTGATTTTTATAATAATCTGATCATGCCTGTAAACCGGTGTGAATTCTGTAAATATTATTTTCAGAATATATTATTATTATGTAAAAATGGAAAATGCTAAAGCATTCTTTGAAATTGTGGTAAGTTATTTAAGAATGGATGAGTGTGTTCTTATTAGCCAGCAACTCTTAATAATTAACTCACCTACTTCATCATTGTATTTATCAACTGGTCAATATCTAACATCAATTTTCATTCCTTAAATCTTCCGTCAGTACAACAGAAAACCAGATGGCAGTAAACAAATACTCTCTACTCATTATGACATAGTTCACATAATAATTGTGTAATTCATGTAAACGCATTCTGTAGATGACAGTTCATACGTACACTCATCAGTCGCAGTTAATCAGAACCTTGAACAAATATGGGTTTCAACATTACAACAATAATCATCTTTCATCAGTTAAAGTACAATACAGTGTTAAGTTCCATGTAAGTTTAGACCTTGAAAACGTGACCCTGATGATACGATGACTAAGTATTGGTCACTCTTCTGTAACTGATTAGTGTATCTTCAAACAAACAACTGCTCAAAACAGTGGTGATATTTAATGAGAAATACTAGGAATAGAATTTACAACGTTACGTAATAAATCTTCAATGGGGAGCAAAGGTATGAAGAATATCAAAACCCTTAATGTATTTTAGATAGAAGCTGGTAGTCAAATCTTGGGCAAATATTTCACTTTAACGGAAGTGAGACTCAAACTGATCATGACTTCTAGACAGAACGAAACATTGGTAGACAGTATATCCTAAATATAATCAAATGGTCAAAACATAGGAAGTGAAGACAATCGTTCAGTGGATTCATATGTAGAGATGAACAATTTTCAATCGATCATATCAACGACATTACAAATATCAGCCATTAAAAGTGATAACAAGTATTTGAGTTATACTTCTGAATTACTTACATAGATGATTGTCAGTAGCATTCCAAATCCAGAAATAATCAATATTGACTATTCAAAAAAAAATAATAACTTGTATTATACAAACTGAAATTTATCTGGATGAATAAGTGTAGATTTAGTTTTAATATTCAGTGACAATCAGAGGCATCACTCTTCTCTCAGTACCAGGAAACGTTTTCAACAGGGTGTTGTTAAACAGAGTGAGGGACTCCATAGACGTCCAACTTCGTGATCAACAGGATGGGTTCCGTGATGATAGGTCATGCACAGACGGAATTCGATCATTGTAGATTAATCAATTGAATGGAATTTATCACTCTACATCAACTTCACTGACTACAAGAAGGCATTTGATAGCGTAGACAGGACAATACTACAGAGGCTTTTTTAACACTACGGCGTGCCTGAGAACGTAGTCAATATCATACGGAAATCCTGTAATGGAATAAACTGCGAATTCGTGCATGGAGTACAGTTGACAGACTAGTTCGAAGGGAAGTCTTGTGTCAGACAAGGTCGCTCACTCTCACCTCTCCTCTTTCTCCTGGTGATTGATTGGATAGTGAAGAAGTCAACATCTGGGGGAAAGCATGGGTTATAATTGACTGCTAGGAAGCAGCTGAACAATCTGAACCTCAAAGATAATCTGGATCATCTATCACACACGCAACAACATATACAGAAGAGAACGATCAGTGTGGCAGCAGCCTCAGTAGCAGTATATCTAAACATACACAAAGTAAAAGCAAGATTCTCCGATGCAACAGCATACACCAATCAAATCACACTTAATGGAGAGGCTTTGGAAGTTGTGAAAACCTATAAATGTCTGGGCAGCCTTATTCATGAAGACAATGGATCTGACGCAGTTGTGAAGAGGCGGATCTGCAAAGCAAGAGCAGCATATTTACAACTGAAGAATATCTGGAACTCAAAACAGTTGTCTGTCAGCCAACACCAAAGTCAGAATTTTTAATACAAATATCAAAACAATTCTACAGTATGGAGCCGAAACCTGTATAACAACGAAAGCCATCATCCAGAAGATACAAATACTTATAAACAATTGTCTACGTAAAAATAAATCAGGGAGAAGTGCTGGAAGTTGATAGGACGCAAATTCAGGATAGCACCCAACTGCGTCACAATGAAAGCACTCACATGGAATCTCGAAGGTCAAAGGAGAAGAGGAAGATCAAAGAACACATTACTCTGATAAATGAAGACAGATATCAGAATAATGAACAACAATTGTAAAGGACTAGAAAAGAAAGCAGAGGACAGAGTGTGTTGGAGAAAATTAGTTCACAGCTCATGCTTCATTGAGGGTAACAAGCGCAGGTAAGTAATATAAATTCAGTGACAATCAACATTACTGACTAACATTAACTGAATAATCACAGCAAATCTGAGAGCACCTAACTAGTGATCCGGGACAACAGTCAGTAACGTTATGTGCTGATATGGTGTTTTGATTTGGTCAACTTAAATTGTATTGATTTCACCGCTTCATTATCAGTCGCATTTACCAACAGAAGTTGGTGGTAGCTAGAAAATATCATGAGGATGTTCATGTATTTTGAACGGCTAGCTTACCAATAAACAATTTTGAAAGGATGATATTGATGTTTGTTATGAATAGGAAAGAAAGAAAGAAATGAACATGAATCTAATGAGTGCAATGTCTTTAACATCTAATTGTTAGATATCAAACTCCATAAGACAATATCTTACTGATTTACCCACAGTTAAATACCAACTAAGATTGTTTAAACTATACAATAATGCAATAAGCAATATCACACTTACATTATAGCATGCATAATGATATAATACAATCAGAACGATATAAACTACTGCTTGTAAAGTGAATATAACAATGAAGAATACTTTGAAAGATCTTTTTATATCGAATCGTTTTAATCCGCCGAATATTACAGTCAGTAATGTGATTCCCAGTGTAATAACCCAACTACTTGGAATCCATACTTTTCCCAATTCAGAAAGTGACCTTGAAGCTGGGATCGAGATAAACATCGACTATCAAATAAAAATAAATAAATGAAATGGGAATCAACGTAACAGATCATCTGTCTTCCAAATAATCATTAATTATGTGGTTAAATGTAGCAAATATGTAGTAATATTTGACAGTATGGTGTAGATCACGAGTAAAGATTATCTCTCTCGAATGATTCAGGGCCTACTTGAGTGAGACGGGAATTGTGTGACGAACTAGTTAACACTTCAGTCACCAAATCCATTGCTACGGCCAACGGTGGTGTGCGTCCGCTCTCCCTCTCGACATGCTCTCACATTGCTACGCTTATATAGCCTCTGTCAGCGAAGTCCTACTCACTACCTTATCGTGGCGGGGTTGTTCTCTACGAAATTGAGAGGATGAAAAGTGAATGTCCGATGTTTTATCCGGGTTTGTGGACACGACGTGTCAACCTGGGGGAGTTGGGAAACTCTGATTTCAAACTGACGGTACGCATGGGCTCCAGTATTCTGAGGTAGCATATGTATTTGGTGCTTCTTTGTACTAATATTTATGTGTTCAAGTAAATGAATATATAAATTCGGATAGATCCTTCGACGTATCAAAGTATTACGCTTGCTTTGAAGACCGCATAACACTGAGGACGTTTTTATAGAAATATATTAGTAAGAGTAGGTACAGGCGACATCGTGACCACCACCACCACATGAATCAGTCCATGCCGTACGATTAACCTATGTACGCTGGTTATCCGTGACTCTGATAGGGATCGACGATTTGTTCGATATTCAATTATTCAACTGCCAAATGATTTGGCCAGAGGTCAGTAACATTTCACTGACGCGACAATTGGAATCGACAATAAAGTGGAAAATGTAACTTTCAAATCTTTTACTGTGTTGATTGTTACTCTACATTTATTTGAATGTTAGTAATTGAGAAATATATTGAATCAAGCTATGAATGAGCATTGGTTGACAAATTACTATTGACATTAAAACTTCACGATCAACGGAGTCAAATGCCGCCTTAAGGTCACGAAATACTACTATTGTGGGACGTCTGAATGTATGTCTATGTTCTAGGACCTGACGTAGGGTGAATATCTGGTTTATACAACCACGTCCAGGTGGGAAGCCAGGCTTATTTTTCTAGTCTGCTCTTCATGAGTTTTGTTTATTCGTCAAGGTATTATTGTAGCTAATATTTAAGACACTATATTAGTGAAACTGACCCCTCTGGGACTGTCACAAGAGGACTTCTGTCCTTTCATATAGACTGGCACAATCAGTGATTGGGACAAGCCAGATGGAATTACGTCAAGTTCCCAGATTCCTTTTAAGACCTCAGTCAATCTGGCTGCTAGTACTGGACCACCATCCTTAAAAATCTCAGGGGCAAACATGTCTGGGCCTGCCGCTCTTCCTCGCTTCAGATTTCCTATAGCTTTTTCAACCTCGTAGAGAGCTGGAGGACTTACCTCAATTTGCCATTCAGGACGACTGGGGATCTCTTCTTCTTTCGCTACCCACCACTGTTCACGATGATTACGTGGGCTTCTTATTAGCCTTCGCTTAAGCTGACTCCGCTCCTCATTATGTTCAGAGTCAGGTAGGATGAGTTTTCGAGCATCTGTCAATGCGGTAGATGCTTCCGAGATCCATTGTTTCTCCATAACCTTATGGTTTACCTTACTAGCAGATATCAAAACTTACATGGTTGCCTAACTGTTTTTTAAGTTGTTCCTGAAATATATTCTTAGCTTACCTATCGGTAAGTAAAACCCTAAGAGGTTTCCTTGCGGTGTCTTTCCTACGTTCAGTAAGACGCAGACAGATACGTGCTCGCATTACAGCATGAACTGAATCTAAACATGTGCCCCAGAATGAGCGACAGTCTTCTATCGAGCCCCTCCATCGGTGGCTGATAGCGATGTCATCTGATTGCGTCCACGTTAGGATGAATTCGGGGTCGCCATGTCAACAGATGTTGTTTTACTTATGCTTAAAGTTAGTATTTGCAAGAGATAGGCGGTTATCTGAGTACAGCTGCAACAGACGATTGCCATTATTTCTTCTTTTAGCCTTGACATCATAAGATCTACCCAGATGTCTTTCCCTTTCACTTAATTTACCTAATTGAGCAATAAAGTCACCTGACACCATTACTACATCAGAACGCCTAGCTTTTCCGAGAAGGTCGGAAAGTTTCCTGTACAACTCATTTTTTATATCGTCTGAGCTGCAGTCAGTGGAAGAGTAGGCAGAGACGACGAAGAGGCAGCGATGAGTTTCTCTATATTTCCGAGGCCATATTGATCCGTTTAGTCGGACAGTGCATAGAAGACTGTCTACTGGGATCCAGTCTAAAAGAGCTAGTTCTGCCCTAGGAGAACGAGAAGCAGCATCAGGGCTTCCAGATACACGAAGCGTGTATCGAGATGGTTCTTTATTTTGATATGGTGAAGTCAAATGAATTACTCTACTCAGATCTTGTATGCGCGTTTCTGAGACGCAACACACATCGGTTGTGTGAGATTCTAAAGTCCTAGCTAGTGAGGCCTGTTGTCCTATTTGGCACAATGTTCGGACATTAAAAGTTCCTACACATAGTTTAGAGAGTGGTTTCAGGAGACCAGGAATAACGTTTTGTGTACTCGAATCGTTTGTCCTAACGGTGCGAGGTGATAAAAGGACGTGGAAAGGGTTAGTCGTTGAGACAAGAGATTTATTAAGGGTACTGCTGTCACACTCAACTAATTAGGATGAAATGTAACATTGTAGTTAGTTAACCAGACATTTATATTTGTTGATTCCAAATGGTTCATATAAACGAATGTCTCTCTCTATCAAAAGAAAAGTAACCTAAATATATGCTATCGAAATATATCTTGATATCAAATCATATGATGATGTCAATGATCAATATTCTCAAGTATCATTCTTGACTACTTACATTAAATACCAATAGTATGTAGTTCCATGGAAATTTAAATTGTACCTGTGGTACGAGAACCATCTCCAAATCAAGAAAGAGTCCTGAAAAGCTGTAGTAATACAAAGCAAATATAGATTGATAATAAAGTTCAGACTGATGCAGAAATAATGACTGATATTTTAAAGATCGAAAGATAGTTGGATAGATATGAGTAAATCATTTATAGATTTTGATGGTTATCCATTGAATGAAATGGATAATGGTTAACTTATAACACGGATTCACCAGTCTCAAACGTGAACAACCTGATTTTGACTAAATTGTGTTAGGGTGAATTGATGACTATGAAGCAGGGGTTACAGATTGATCCTGTTATATCCTCTCAACACACATTTTATGAGTCATTCATACTACTTACTGATACAAAGTAGTTTGCAGTGTATCCAATCGTATTCATAATCTGTTTATCTTAAAACCTAGTTTTAAATTGATGAAATTAATCAGTGAAACACATCCGTTTATAATCCTATCACTCTAGTTCTATTATTAGTTTCCACATGTATTCACATTTAATATCTTTACGTTTCTTACTATTGTAGCACTCTATATGTTAAACAATCTGAATAAATAATGAAAATCTGATCGAAACAATGTTGATTTTGTGTAGTATGACGATTACTCAAAAAGTGCGGTTAATAAAGAAGTGAATTTAGGAAGTAATACAAACATTTAACTGTTATGTTAGACATTTGAAGATGTAGGACCAGTGAAATGTCACTAAGCTCTAGTCAAATCATCCGCTAGTTGAATCATCACATATTGAATAGATCATCGATCCCTGTCAAAGTCACAGACAACCAACGCACATCAGTTGATCATAAGGCATGGACTGGTTCAATTGGTGGTAATGGTGGTGGTCACAGTGACGCTTGTACTCACTCTACCTAAAATATTTCTATTATAACGTCCTTTGTGTTATACAATCTTCGAAGCAAGCATAATGCTATGATACGTCGAAGGGGTAATCCACGTTAGATGCTGACTGTGAGGTATGTCTTCGAAGTTGACTGCTTTATCACATCATTCCTATCTCAATCGAGTAGTCCCTGAATCATTCAACAAAGATCATCAACGGTGATAAACAACAATCTATTTACACAGTTTTCTTTCAATTTTAATAACTTACATGTGTCTACTCATTAATACAACAGATACTACTGAATACTAATTTTTTTAAGAACACAGCACTTTTATCATAACGGAAATAGTTAAACCAAACAATTAATAACTTACAAACATAGCCAAACAATCCAGTTTTTGGATAGTAACCAATCCTTCAATTTATCACTAAATATAAATAGAATCAAATGTTCCTATAATTCCAATTGAATGAAATGAACTTACATTAGTATAACAAGAAGATTCATTCCCCATATGATTAATAGTTGTAGAAAAATTATAGCATCTGCCTTACAAATTAGGTACCATTTTGTTTTGTTGTATTAAATTACCTTCAGATAGAAATCACCACTGGTTACTTGTTGATTTGGTTCTATTCTAATCTAGATATTCATGTTATGATGCAAATGAGTAAACAAACAAACAAATCAATAACCTACTTGGTTACTATTCAATTCTGTTAAGTAATTTACTTTATGTTTTTCGCCTAGATCTAAAAAGAATGTGAAATTAAAACTGATGAAATGAATTCAATAAGCAAAGATGGATAGTTGAACATTAACTCTGTTATACAAGGTTCATTCAGCTGATGATTCACAAATAGGATGAAACGCACATCAAATTAGATTTCACTATTAATCACGATTCATCTTTACTTAAAATTCTTGTGAATTAAGGCAACATCGAAGCAAGCCATACAGTATGTACATTATAGTCCTAAACAGCTGAAGATACCACCAATATTGTAGTTTGACTACTATTAACCAGTAACACCTTCTATAATCGAATCGTGCCCCACTTAGTTAAAATCAGAAGTCAGAAGCAAAGAAGTTGGAAATATATATTTGATGCGTTATCAATATATCGAGAAGCGATTGATCTAATCTGGCTAGTGATCGTAGGAGATGTTTCCCACTCTGTGCTGGAACGTGATCTGATGCGGATGCATGACCGAATTCCTTCAGCTAAACAAGTTCACTAAAACTAATGTGGTCAGCATCGAATGTCGAGCACTTAAAAAGCTGTTGATTTTGAGGAATTATATAAAGCTACAAATCACCCACCCCCTGGTGAGGAGGTGATGACCCTAAGACGTAACCAGCCAGAAGTTCAAACCTAACGAGTTTGTCGTTGGTGAACACTCTTCTGATAGCTTGCTATGTTTAGCAGCGTCTGGTCGTCTTTCCTTAATATAACGAACCATGAAATACGAAATAGTAATCGTAAAACTAAGTACAATCGAAAATCCCAGTTCTTTATAGACTTCATCTTTCTTTTCCAGCCGTCCTGGAAAACGAAAAAAAATAGAACGTGTGAGTGCATGTCGAAATACATTCGCTTTTGCGTAAGGACGCAAGGTGAACGGAAAAAAAGTTAATAAACTAATAGGCTTGCAACATCGTAAAAGCGATTGAAAAATTTTTTGTTTGTTTGTTTGCTTTTATAATATATAATGCAGGTACATCCAGCTGACGAGTCTCAAATAGAACGAAACGCGCGTCAAACTGGATTCCACTGCTGGCCACTATCCATTTCTGCCTACCATGCTTGTGAATTAAGGTTATATCGAGGCAATATGCACAGTATGCACATATGCCAATAAGAGACTGACCTACTGCAGTCTTAACACATCGATGGAAAAATTCAAACAAACAATACAAAATGAATATAATGCAACAAAGTATCGAGATAAAGCTTGTGTCCTACTTGCGATAGTCGTTTAAATGTTCTGGAAATCTTACTCTTCTTCTAGAACGCGTTGTCTTAAGTTTATTTTCAGACACTGATGGAGTATCAACGTGCGTGTCGGCTGTCGGATAAAGTACCACAAGTGTAGGAGCAATGTCGATCAACTATACTGAAGGAAAATCGACGTAGATAAGAAGGAAGTTATACAAGACAAGGCGTCTGCGACTACATTGTTTGATCCAGAAATATGTTGTATGTCTGAAGTAAACTGCGAAATGTAGTCGAGTTGTCAAGACTCTCGCGGTGAGTACTTGTCTGAAGATGAATTTAAAGAGAAGGTAAGAGGTTTGTGATCGGTAAAAAGCGTGAATTCTCTTCCTTCGATGGAATGTTGAAAATGCCGTACAGCACAATACATAGCTAGGAGTTCCCTACCGAACGTGCTGTACCTAGATTCCGTGTCTAACAACCGTCTGGAGAAAAATCCTAAAGGTTGCCACGAGTTGTTAACCCATTGTTGTAAGACTGCTCCGAATGCTGAGTCGGATGCGTCTACTGCGATACTAATGGGCGCTTGAGTGTCCTGATGAGCAAGCAGGGTTGCTTTAGCGATGTGTTCCTTAACTGTGGAGAATGCTTTACGGGCTATGTCGTCTAAACTAATTGATTTCGCATTTCCACAAAGCTGATCGGTTAACGGTTTCATAAGGGATGCGCAATTGGGTATGAACCGTCTATAGAAACTTACGAGTCCGTTAAAAGTTCGTAACTGCTTGATCGTGGTCGGTTCTGGGTAATCCAGAGTGGCCGCCACTTTGCTCCTAAGGGGTCGGATGCCTTGGGCATCAATAGTGTGTCCTAAGAAGTCTAAGCAGTTAGTTCCGATTTGGCACTTATGAATGTTGACAGTAATGCCATGCCTTTGGAGTCGATCGAAAACAATGTCCAGATGCTGGAGATGTTGATCTCTTTCCGGAATTGCTATCAGACAGTCGTCAACGTATGCATGTACGAAGTTGAGACCTCGGAAGACGTCATCGATAAACCTTTGGAAGGTTTGAGCAGCATTTCTTAGACCGAAAGGCATTTATAAAAATTCGTAGAAGCCGAAAGGAGTTAAAATGGCGGTTTTTGAAATGTCGTCGGTTGCCATAGGAATTTGGTAATAAGCTTTAACCAAGTCGATTTTCGAAAAGACAGTTTTACATTTCAAGATAGCTGTCAAGTCGTGAATGTGAAGCAACTGGTAACGATCGGGAATTATTTTAACATTCAGACGACTACAACCACCAGTTGGACGTTAATCATTGCTGTCGTCTTTAGGGACCATGTACAAGGGAGATGACCATGAGCTACTTGACGGTCAAATGATTCCTAACTTTATCATATGGTCGAATTCTATTTTAGCCAATCTAAGCTTTTTGGGAGCTAGTCGGCGTGCTTTCCATCTTTACTTATAATGCTTGTGAATTAAGGCGATATCGAAGCAATATACACAATATGCACATATGTCAATAAGAGATAGACTGATCCATTATAGTCTTGAACAACAATAGGAAGATATGTGTGTAAATAACTCCAAAAGTCGCCGAGTTAATGAATCTTTCTATTCAATCAATATTATTCACTTACATTTCATTGTAACAATCAATAAAGGGTAACAATACTACTTATAATGATAATAACAGTAGTATTTGAATTAGTATTAAAACTGTATAGATAATAGAGAATGAATGTTGATTTGCAATTAGAATTTGCTTTATTAATATAAAACAAGATGATCTTTGTACTATCATTGAATCAATAGATCAGATGAATTCTTTCAAGGATCAGTCTAGTATTTAACAGATAATTAAACCAATACTGATATGTACACATATGAAGGTACAAAGTTAATGATTGTAATATGATTGACATAGCGGCATTTTTTAATAAAGAAATACCTTACCTTTTATCAAAGATGATCCGGTTAACATTGAATGATGATATAATCAAATGAATGGTCTTGAAATTTGTATAGATTATATAATTTATTTACTTATGTACTTACGTAGCTGAGTGGATAACGCGATGGCGTTTAAAGCAAGAGTTACTGGGTTCGAGTTCCAGGGTGAATATCAACTCTGAGGTGTGGGTACATTCAGCTGACCAGTCACAAATACAATGAAACACGCGTCCTAGATTCCACTGCTAGCCACTATCCATCTTTGTTT